GACGCTTCGGCCAGTGTGCAGGCGGCCTCGGTCAGCCTGCGGCTGCCCAGGAAGTCCCACAAAGGCTGTTCTCGTGCTAAATCAGCAGCCACCTGCCCGGCACTTCAGCTCATGTCCTCAGTCCAACAAGGTCACCAGCCCCGGGCGATGGACGTGGGAAAGGCTGGGAGACCTGGGTGCTGGTGCTTTTGCAACAGGGAACAAAGAGTCGGGGCCGCCTTTGCTAAAAAACCACCATCAGAAAACCCCAGAACATCCCAGTTCCCTTCACCTGTCCTTCCATTACTCCGAGCAGCGCTGGCTCCATCCACTGCACGGGCTCGGTGAAGTAGGAGGTACACTTTGCTCCCTCAAGCCGAGCGGGGTCCGTGATCCTCTTGTGGGGAAAGGCTGCCGGTCCGCTTCCTTCCGCGTGGGACAGAATGCTGGAGCTACGGAACAAAGCACGCCTGCCCTCCACCACAGGAGTGGGGGGAGGGAAAAGAAGCAAAGTTTACATTGGAGAAACCAGTCGGCAAAACGCAAAGCGTCAGCGGTGGTTTCGGAGCAAGCACCCTCGTGGGGCCAGGCAGAGTTACGGCCTGACGTCCCAGTGCCTTACAGGGGCCATTTTTCTCGAGTCGATCTCAAAAGGATGTTTTATGGAGAAAATATCAAAGGTTCGGTACCTGCACTTCCTGCACCTGTAGAGGAGCTCTGTGCTTGGAGTTTGGCACGTGCCAGTGGGATCAAGAGCGAAGACTTCTTGGGGCAAGTCCTGGAGTTCTGTAGAGGGGTCAGGGCAAAGTGAGGCAGACCAACGCGTTTCGGCGGGACAGGACAGTGCTCCGCCCACTCACGGCACGCCGAAGCCACCTGCTTCCCATTCGGCCGGCCCCTCGCCCATCCCCGTAGATAGGCTAAAAATGAAAGAGCCTCATCCCACCGCACCCAACACTGGGATTCCCTTAGCGCAAGGAACTGGGATCTAGAGTTTGGCCTTGGGAATGGTAAAATAAGTTGCTTCTGGCTTCAGGTTCCTGCTTGCGCAGCCGCGGGAGGAGCTAAGCCAGGGCTGCCCATCTTTCAGCGCACACCGTCAGCTTGGGAGCGGGAAGGGAGGAGAACGAACGTGGAGGG